CGCCTGGTTGTTTCGGTACGGTTCGGGCTGGTACTCGTTGGCCCGTATCTGGTACGGTAGGGACCATCATGCTCATCATCCTCGCACGCGCCTTCTCTCGCCATGCCGCTGGACAAGATGAGGGCCGACTCCTCGTCCATTGTGCTCACGCCCGGCGGCCTGACAAGTCTCGGCGGCGATTGAGTGGGGGAAATGAGAAGGAGAAGGCCTTCTCAGAAAGCGGCGGGACTTCTCAGAAGCCCACGCGCCTTCTCAGAAGTTGTTGTTTGTGTCTTCGGGGCAGGCTCAGAAAGCTTCTCAGAAGGCCAGGGGACTTCCGAGCCTTCTGAGACGGCCTTCTCCTTCTCACTTCCCCCCCCTCCAGGGCTCGTTTCGATTCCTCCGATGCAATTCGATCCGATTCGATTTCGACGGCTTCCGATTCCGATTCGATTCGATTTCGGATTCCGATTCGGGCTCCGACTTCTTACTGGAGGCATACTGGCCAGCCGATGTCTGCCGATCTCCGCCGATCCGATTCGCTTCGATCGCCGATCCGACCTGTCGATCCGATTCTTGGCTCGCCTGGGGATGGTTTGCGAGGGATCGGTGGAGGAGGGAGGAGGAGGAGGAGGAGGAGGAGGAGGAGGAGGAGGAGGAGGAGGAGGAGGAGGAGGAGGAGGAGGAGGAGGAGGAGGAGGGGGAGGAGAGGATGAGGAGGAGGAGGAGGAGGAGGAGGAGGAGGTGGAGGAGGAGGAGGAGGAGGAGGAGGAGGGAGGAGGGAGTCGATCCGATTCTGGGCCGTCCTGCCCCCTCGCTCGCCTGGCCGAGACGGCCGCATCCTCTCGCAGCGCCGCGCGCAGGAAGGGGGGGCGAGGAGCCTCGGGGCGCAAGCATGACATCGGGCGTGCCCCTCTACAAGAGGCAGATGCAAAAGTACTCAAACCATAGTCTGGAGACGCTTTTTTGATTATGTTACGGTTGTCTTTGAGCGTTATTTGACTATGTTGTGTGTTTCGTTCAAAATCCGCCTGTAGGGGGACGTGCCCGACCTAACGCAAGCAGACGGGGGCTGGCCAGAGCGCGGGATCTTGCGGGGTCCTGCAGGGCCAGGGGGCGCACTGGGCTGGGCCGTCAGGAGAAGGAAGAGGGCAATTCCTGGCTTTTTTATCAGCGTGGGAGGGGTACCCCCCCGGCGGGGGTCAACCTCGCCTCGTCGTCGCGCCGCGATGGGGGTCGGAGCGCCTTCGGTGCGAGGGGGCTGCCCGCGACGGGGGTCGACGCAGGGCTGTCGGCGGGGGTGACGCCCCCCCGACGCTTGTTAAGGAACTCGGAGTACCCATAGCCCATAGCCCTGCAGTGGAGGTCCATGCCAAGAAACACCCTGCTTGCCTCCAGGATGCCCTGGGTGTATTGGGTTTCGAGGGTTTTGCGAGCGAGAGCGCGACGTTCCCACACCAGAAATCGATTGACGTCCTGGGGTCTCAGGGTTGGGTTTCTTGTGGACTGGCCTCCGCTGCGCATTGCGCCATTTTCCCCTTTGGGGTCCTCCTGGGAGGCCCTCGTCGCCACCGCTGAATTCGTGTCGAAATTCTTGTCAGAACGTGCGTCAGGAGAGGTCTGGGGGGAAGCGGTATCGGCACCCTTTGGTTTCCCCAGTCTTGGGTGCAGGAGTTTGCAGGCCCATCCCCATCCCCTTCGAGACCCCAACCACATTACCATCCCAGTATGGGATACACCCCTCGAAACCCGGAGGGACCGATCTATATCCCCATCTAGGGAGGTAAACCGGCCAGTGGAACCCAGGCCACGCCGTTGGGGATGGGGATCGGATAAACGATACTCAGAGAGCCCGTCTGAGGCAGACGTCCCCCCGCTTGTCCCGAGCAGCGGGTGGCTCTGACGCCTGCTTGCGCCTCGCCTCCCCTCCCTCCGCCCTCCTCTCCTCTCTGCGCCTCCCCTCGTCCTCGCCAGATCGGGCGGGGCAGGGTCCTGCCGTGAGTCTCGCACGCTGCATGCAGCGGGCTTTACACCTGCTCCGAGTTCCTTAACAAGCGTCGGGGGGGCGTCACCCCCGCCGACAGCCCCGCATCGACCCCGTCGCGGGCAGCCACCTCGCGCCGAAGATCCTCCGAGCCCCGCCGCAGCGCGACGACGAGGCGAGGTCGAACCCCGTCGGGGGGTACCAATCTACGCTTAATAGGAAGCCCAGGGTATCCTTCTGTCGCTCGGTTTATCGTCTAGCCCCTGGCAGCACGCAGGCGAGACGGCGGCGGACGCCTGCGATCTATCCTGCGGGCTCCGATCTGTCTCGTCTCGTCCCTCGCGTTCGGCATCCTCTCTGCCCTTCCCTGCGGCTCGTCGGTCCTCCCCCGAGGCCCCCGCCGCCTCCTCATCGACGGCGCTCGGGCTCGAAGAGCACGTCCGAGGCTCGAGCCACGCACAGGCGGCGCAGCAGGCTGCGACGTCGCTGCTAAGTTCGCCTGCAGGTTCACGCCGACAGCAGGGAGCCCAACGGGGAGGCAAGGGGTAGGCCCCCCTCGCCCCTCCCCATTGGGCCTCCCCCCTCCCAGCTGGGCGCTTCCCCTCTCCTGGAGGAGGGCGGGAGGCCGTCCTCTCCCCCACCCCCATCCCTGGCCTTCAAGAGGGGGTGGGGGGGGCTCCCCCCCCCGTTGCTGATCCTCATGCTCCTCCTCATCCTCTTCCTCCTTCGCCTACTCCTCCGCCTACTCCTCCCGCTCCTCCTCTTCCTCCTTCTCCTCCCACCTCCCACCTCCCTCCTCCTCCTCCTCCTCCTCCTCCTCCTCCTCCTCCTCCTCCTCCTCCTCCTCGCCCTCGCCGCTCCTGGCGCCGCGGGACGCGCTGCTGCGGCCCGTGGAGGCCGTGGCCTTGGCGCTGTACGTCTGCCCGTGGACTCCCGTGGTGCGCCCGCCAAGCGCCCCTGCGCGCGCGCGAGCGCGCCCACCTGGTGCCCCCCTGAGAGGAGGGCGGAGGTAATTACGAGGAGGAGGAGGAGGAGGAGGAGGAGGAGGGCGGAGGAGGAGGATGAGGAGGGCGGAGGAGGAGGAGGAGGAGGAGGAGGAGGAGGAGGAGGGCGGAGGAGGAGGAGGAGGAGGAGGTAGACGAGGGCGGAGGAGCGGGCAAGGAAGCGCTGGCGGCCACGCTCACGCTTTGTCGCATGCTCGAGGCTCGACGGCTCATTGTGTCTCGTGCAGAAGGAAAGGTCATTGCCACGAATTCTGAGCTTGCTACCAAGATTGCTGCCGACTTGAAGAGGTGGGAATTCCGTTCCACACATCATGTCAACAATCTTGGGACTGATTACGCGCAGCGAGGCCCACCACGTGTCGTTGTTCTCGCGGGTAGAGTGACCAAAGTGAGGTCCCGAGTTGGCCGTTTCCGTTCCTTGAAATCTCAATTTCGTAGGCTCACGATGGTCTCACAGGTAGGAGCCCTCCCACAAGGCACGTATGGGGTCAGTGTTTTGGGGCTCCCGGGCAGGCTTCTTTCTAGGCTTTGTGGGGCCATCGCTTTAGGACTCTTTGGGCCAGCCAGAGGCCGCTCCCGCACTATTCAGTTCTGGCTCTCGCCAGCGCCCGACGCCGACCCTGCCTTCATCAGTCTTTCATTGCCTCTAATGTCTTGGGATACGGCCTTTCGGTAAGGCTGGGCGACACGGGAGCAGATGTCCAGTGTCGTTCAGGCCTTGCTAGACCTCCGGCAGCAACGCAAATTCGATTGGTCCGCAGTCAAAGGTCCGACGGTAGCTGTGAGAATGACCCTCGATCGGCTTGGATGGATTCCCAAGAGCTGTCGCGCCTGGCGTTTGCCGTCTGGTTTGACGGTCGATCTCGAGGTGGTCCGCAGGGTTTCGTTGAAGCAGCTCGTCGACCGAGGGACCAAGGATTTTCTTATGGGGAAACTCCAATGGAGCCATCAGGGCCAGGAGTACGAACACCCCCAGTTAGATGCAGTGCGAGAGGCTTGTGACGACCACCGCCGACAGGGCAAGGGCCTCCAGGCCAGTCTTCTCGCCACCCCTGTTGCAGATGGCCTTGTGACCCAGTCCACACTGTCCCAAGATCGTCGCGTGGTTGATGAGCAATGCCAGCTCGCCCCAGGAGGGCAAGGTACGCCACGCCACAGGCGTTTCGGTTGCGACTGCCTGGCAGGCGGACGGGGACGGTTAGGATGCGATGAGGAAGTCAGGAGCTGGAGGCGAGGCGACGACGACGATCCTTTCCTTGCGAGGTGGATTCTTCCCTCTCCTGTCAGGTTCACGCCGAACCTCCAGCACTCAGGCGCCATCCAGTGATTAGTTCGCCCGCGCGACGGGCTCCCTAAAGGCAACCCCTGCACGGATGGATATGCTCTTTATCCCGCCCTGCCTCTCGTCATTGTTGTTGCTTGGGCGGTGGTGCTGATGGACGCAGGAGGACAGGTCCTAGCAAGTGTTTGTGGCCCTCTGCCCCATGCTCTCCACTCCTATACTGGGCAGAGGTGTATGCAGTTCTGATGGCGTTAAGACTCTCTGGCCCAAGTGACGCCGAGTTGGGTTGTGATTGCCAGTCGGTGGTGAAAACTTGGGACCGATGGTCGGAAAGCGGCGTTTCCTACCTCCCTCATGCCGAGCTTTGGGTGGACATCCTGTTTCGGCGCAGAGATCGCGGGGAGTCATTTAGGGCGTCGCATGTCCGCGCCCACAAGTCCTGGCCGCAAGCACTCCAGTTGGGTGTGCCGTTCTGGGCTTGGAAAGGGAACCACGTTGCTGATGAGGCCGCCAAGGGAGCGACAAGAGCGATCCCAACTCCCGATGGTCTCTGTGAGTGCTTCGAGCAGCAGAGAGAGAAAGAGAGAGAGAGAGAGAGAGCGTTTGCAAGGCCTTGCTCGAGGTTGCTGGACGCCCTGCCTTTCGCGATGTAGCGAAGGAAATATCCAAGAGGCAGCGCCCGCCAGGAGCCCAGCTTATTCTTTGCCCAGACCCCAATAGCCAATGGCCACCAGGGGTGGTTTTGCGCGCGTTGCCTTGATCGCGGGCGCAGCTGGACCCACCTCGCCAGCTATCGCTGTTTGGGGCTCCCGCTGATATGTCGGCAGTCTCACGCGTCCCACCGCTTGCGGGGCAGCGATGTTGGAGCCCCTCTCCCGATTGATTGGTGCTCCAAGTGCGGTTGTCTCGCTCGGCATCGGGTGCAGCTTCTGGCGGATCGCTGCCCTGGCAAGACTCGCAACGACGCTGCCACCCGTTCGCTCGAGTGTTTTTCTCAGCAAATCTTCTGCGTTGCCTGTGCGAAGCGGATGCTTGGCCGAACTGGAATTGGAATTGGAACTGGAAAAGGGGGAGGAGGGCGGAGGAGGAGCAGGGTGGAGGACGAGGAGGAGGAGGAGGAGGAGGAGGAGGAGGGCGAAGGAGGAGGAGGAGGAGGAGGAGGAGGAGTGAGGAGGGCGGAGGATGAGGAGGAGGAGGAGGCGGAGGAGGAGAAGGAGGCGGAGGAGGTGGAGGAGGAAGAGGAGGAAGAAGCGCTATGGGGGGGGGGATGGCCTCAGGGGGGGGGTGCTTCGACCCCCGATCGCCCACCGATCGCTGACATGGGGGCGTGTGGCCCACCCCGCCAGCGTGCGGTCTCGGCCTCGGGGGCCCATCGCCGATTTATCGGTACGGTCAACCCGCACAGTGAGGATGGGCAACCTTCCCGAGGGTACCCTTTTGCAGCCTTTGCCTGCTCGGTGCATCCTTGGCCGCTTTGGCTGGCCAGCCTCGTTCGAAAAACGTGAACGTGGCACTCCAAGGCCCTTGCATCCTTACCGCGCATCCTTGTTATACGGACTGACTGTAACGCTGCCCCGATTGCAGGTCGACGCTTCAGTTGAGTCGGGCCGAGGGTCAGAGAGCGCCTTCCTCTGCAGGACCACCGAACAAGGGGCGTCAAGGTGGTCAAACGCCTCGCCGGTTGAGCCTGCGAAGACGTGCAAAGATAAACGTCCGTCCATGTCCAAAGTTTCGGCTTGACGCCCGATGCGGTGCATCAGTTTCAGTTTGACCGAAGAGTTTGTTGTGTCCCTTGACGTCCGTTTGGGGTCTTCTGCAGACCTGGCCCCCCAGCGCTATTCAATGTTTCACCTCTTGACCTGGTCCCCCCTGACCGTTCCCCCTCAGGGGGGGAGTGCGGATGGACCGATTACGTTGGCAGTTGATCGCGGCAGCAGTGGCGTTGCACAAGATGTAACTGCTGTTCGAGAAGGGATGGAGTGCATGGGCAGCTAAGCTCAAGCAACACCTAAATGGGAAAGAGGAGGAGGATTGGAAGGACAAGGACGACGACGACCGCGACGACGAGGACGCTGGCCACGGGAGGGGAGCGTCAAAGGGTGAATAAGGAATTTCGATATGTAAGTCTCGTTCTCTGATTTAGGGATACCCCTGTGGCCACAATCACGCAGCTCGAAACAATGGTCATAGACTCTCAAGATTAGGTCTGGGTGTCGGCGAAGGGGTGTTAGACCTAGGGGCGGCAAACAACAAGCTGATGCGGGTCGGCCTGTGTTTGTCCAGCGCATGGGACGATTGATAAAACATTCAGGATGGGTACCCGTCAGAATGCCTGCTATGGGTGCCTCATAATAGCAGGGTTGTTTTGTCACTATGGGGATGTGCTGTCGTCGATTTCGAGGCGCTGACCTGGGGCACGGCATTTGCAGGAGTTCAGGGGTTTCAAGAGGAGGGTGATGCACAGGGTTCAACGGACTGGGGCTGGGCTGACAGTTTGGTGTACCGACCGCTGCGGGACGCGAATCGGCGGTCCCTTTCCCAGAGGTGTTGATTCCGTGCTGCGCGTACCTGTGCTACGCCCAGAAGAACCCACAGGCCGCGGAGGCGCTCACGGGTGCAAAGTGACACTCTCGAACCGAGTAGCACGCGTATTTGCATTCATGACATGGAGGTAAGGCCCAGGAGTGGCTCTCGATTTCGGCCCGTTCCTCAGATGTTGGTCGGTGGATCTAGTTGTGGCCGATACTCGCCGAGGCCTGAAAAACGTGTTCGTTCTTTCTCCAGCGCTCCCTATGGTAGCACGATGGCTGGCAGCATGCTCTGCGCGGGTTCAAGAGCTTCGGAGTCTTGCGCGCGCGAGCTTGCCATGCGCGCTCCGTTCTCCTTGCTTGATCGTTGTTTATTCGAGCGTGTCGCCAAGACGAAGTACAGGCGGCCCGGATTAGTAGGTCGACCTTGCCAGCTCAAGGGTATTTTTGTGTCTTGTGTTTCGCGACCCATACTTCCTGCATTCTTGTGGCAATGTGGCCCTCGGAAGGGCCTTGTGTCCTCTCGCGTGTCCTGTCCAATCGAGTCCGACTGTGAGTTGCTCAGTCGTCGCCTCTTCCTTCCACTGCGCCTGCTGTCGACCCCGGCGGGGTGCCGGAGCACGCCCGGCGGCACGGCCCGCCGAGGACCACGGGTACAGCCGCTCGAACGAGGGCGTCATCATCGAGCCCGGTTTCGTGTGGTATCTCTTCCGCTTCGTTGTGGCCGCGCGTCTCCTGTCTTCTCCTGTCTCTAGGCCTCCCAGATGGGGTCCGAGTAGATGGGGTCGGAGGATCGCGCCGCATCGCCGATGCATCGACGATTCGGCTCGAGGTGGAGCCCGATCTTCTCCACGTCGACGTCACCGATGCATCGCCGACGTCGCCGTTGCATCGCCGATGCATCGCCGATGCATCGCCGATGCGTCGCCGATGCATCCCCGATGCATCGCCGATGTATCGGCGATGCGGCGCGATCCTTCGACCCCATCTACTCCGACCCCATCTAGGAGGCCTCTACTATCGCGGTGAGGAGGCGAGGGGGGGACAACCGCCCTCATCTCGAGATTGCCGGCACGCTGTTGGGGGAATATCCTCCTCCTGCTCTCCTCCCACCCGCTCCCGTCTCAGCCTCCCCCTGGAACGACTGGGATGTGGCGAACACGGGGAGGAGGAGGAGGAGGAGGAGGAGGAGGAGGAGGAGGATTTTGGCTCCACGCCCTCCTCTAAGACCATAAAGGAACTGACACCTGCAGCAACGAGGCGGTGCAACAGGCCTGCAAAACAAATTAGGCATAGGTGTTGAAGCACTGCATAAGATTGCCTACATCAACAGTCACACCCGCTTTCTGCTGCCTGTAATGCGGGTGTTTGCCTTTGCACAGGGCTTGCCAGCCGTATTTCGCAGCTCGCGAAGGAGGCGGCTGGCACTTGGCGCCTAAACCACGGACAGAAGCTCCACTGGAATGCGCCTTGCACCTAGTGCAGATAAACAAAACCGAGCCATCCGAGCAGTCGAACGCAATCGTACGATGCTCGAGGGCGTCCTGACTGGATGCGTGAAGCCGAGACGTCTGGGAGCAGACACCAGGCGAGGGCCTACTCTGAGAACGCTTGCCTCTGAGGCAAACAGCACAGCGCCACACTCCAGACCACATTTCCCAGCGGTGCCCTGCGGAAACTCCAGCAGTGGCACGCGGGGCTAAAACTCGTCCTGCCTCGGAGAGGTCCAAGGAAGGCCACACATGCAATACATGGGCCGCCAGCCTGATCGTCTGGCGAGCCTGCGAGACAAGCTTGTCCGCCGCCGCTAGCTTGTCTGGACAAGAAGGATGAAGACGCGCTGCATGCTTGGCAGCTGCGTCCGCGTGATGATTGCCGAGGCGCCTCCAGCGCTCAGCTGCGTCGATCCCCACCTCGTCCAGCTCCTTATGAGCTGCGACTTTGGTGCACGTTGAAGGCGATACACCTTGAGCGTAGAGCTGGAGGAAGGCCCCAGAGTAGGCCCTCTTCCCACTCAGCTGCTCGGCCCTAGGCCGACAGGCAAGATTGACCACATTGCTGCAGTCGGAGAACACAACGATGCTGGCCGACGCGAGCACATTGGCCCAAGTCCAGCAGCAGAACTCAGCCGACTGTGGCGTCTGGGGATAAGGGGCCCACACAGGGGCCCGAAATTCAGCGACGGCCGACCCTTGGTCGTCGACCATCACCGCACTACAGCCAGCTCTGGAGAGCTCCCGAACAGTGTGGCGGCTGCTGGAGCCGTCAATGAACACATTACCCCAAAGTTCAGTGCCAGGCTTAGCCCCAGAGGGCGACGAAATATCATGGTGGTGCCACACAAGAAACGGGCCATTGTCCGTCTCAGAGAGGGGCCTGGGGTACCCGTCGGCGGGGTGGCGGAAAGCCCCAGAAATGAAAACGAACACTGCTTCCTCGTCGTCCTTAGCAGCTAGGGCTTCGGCTACAGTGCTATCATCAACTAGTGAGGATCTAAGCTCAGCCACTGGTTCGTGGGGGCACTCCCACAACCTGTGAAAGATCGTGTCCGTGGCGCCGCAGAACGGGCAATTGCCGTCCACGACGTAGCCTAAGTTCACAGCACGATCTCCCGTGAAAAAGGCCTCGGTGGCGAACGCTCTGATATGGGCCTTCTGAAGGGCCGTGTATTTCTTGGAGGCCAAGGCCTCGCGCAGCACATCATAGCATATCCTGGGGAGCACTCCCCTCTTCTCGGCAGAGAGCCTCTCCAACATCCTAAAGTACCCATCCTTAAGCAAGATCCTAAATAAAGCAGGCGAGAAAATGCCGAGGGGAATCGAAAAGCCACGGTCATCTCGCACCGTCATGAAGTTGTCCATGGACCAGCCCAGCCTGACCAGGGACATCCGAAGGGCCGACACGGGGCCCGAGACCATCCTCCAGGAGCAGACAGGGTTGGAAAAAACCGCTTCCCACGCACGACGCAACGAGGGAAAGTCCAACCCCCAAGAGTAAGCCCCAGTCTGAGCCAGCCAAATCTCCTTGGACCAACGGAGAATGGGGGCGGTGGCAGTGCGCCAGCACGGATCATAATCTAGCAAAGCCGCCGTCGTCAAAGATCTCAGCTGAGATCTGGGACGGACCACAGAAAACACTTGACGACGAAGCCGAAGCAACTCGAGGTCGCTAGTGCCAGTAATTTCGGAGCCATAAGACGCCCCCGCAAGAGGCCCCGAAGAGAACACCTTGAGAACCTGCGGCCTAGAGATGACTTTGATCTGACGCTTTAATCTCTTGGCCGCCCTCGCAGCCTTGGCGATACGCATTTTAGACTTCACAGAGCGCCCTGCCACTCTAAGCGCGCGGCCAGCCGTGTAGTCAACGCCTAAGTTGACAGCACTAGACGTAAAATTGCCGCCTAGATGCGAAATTTCGACAGACACCTCCTCCCCCAGGGCCTTCGAAGAAGCAACCACAGCAGTCTTGTCCAGGGCCAGGGAACAACCGAAACAAGCCTCAACGATACCATGGAGCGCCTTAGCCCCAGCGACGATCGATTCGACCACGGTCCGATGTTGGCCCGTACACGAGAGCCCCTGGTCGTCGATATACACGTCGAGGTCGAGCCTGGGGATGGCAGGAAGAGGGTCGTACCCGTCCTGGCAAAAAAACCCGAATGAACGTGGTGGCCATCGAGCAGCTTGCGATGACCCCATTCTGGCAGAAGTAGGGGCCTTCCAGCCACCCTCCTAGGCAGAGAAAGCGCCCACACCTGTAGGCATAAATGCAAAGACGGGCAATCGCAAGAGGGAATCCATGTTTCTTGCAGCGGACCTCCAGCTCTTTCAGGCTAATGTTCTCATAGAACTTGCGAAGATCGAACAGAACCGAACATGGGGACTCCCCGATGGCAAGACCCGTCTCGGCGGTGACCGCTTGACGCCAAACCACATCGGCGGCTCCTCGAAATCTACCAGCAGCCCAGTACCGTTTGGGGTGTTCTTGCTCCCAGTTCAAGGCAAAGGGCCGCCGACAGCGGCCCCAAACCCTGAACCAGGAGCAGAACACCCCAATCGGTCTGTAGCCACCAGTGGGCTCCGGCAGAAGCGCCAACGTGACAACAGAGATCTGCAGAGGAAGGCAGCCTAGCGCTTCCATGATCGAAAAAATGGCGCTGAGGCAATCGAGCGCAGCATCTGGCAACAACGAAAAATGCTTGCAGTGAAATCCGTCCACAGCCACAGCCGAAGAGTCTTTGTAGGACCTAGAGATATCACGGATTTCGCTGGCCGTGGGTCGAGGAAGAGGCTCGAGGACCTGACCATCGAATTCGGCCCCCCGACCTTCACCCCATATGCTGCTGAACCTCTCTCCCTCCGCCTTGAGCAGGGAGAGAGGATCGCTGACAACGCAACCTGAAGCAGCGAGAGTCGAAGAAGAGACCCAAGGAACAGGATCTTTAATGCACTGATGAACCCTTTTTGCCCCCTTATTGATGCCAACGTGCAGCCATGCTGCCCAGTCAGCTCGGCTCTTGGCGGCGTACTTGGCGCTGGCGGCCTTGGCGGCCTCGTGAACCTGAGTGTACAAATCAGCGAGAGACTCAACATCCCCACCAGAGCCAAAGGCGGAGACCTCCTGAGCCGCACGCTTGAACAGCGGCTCGTAGTCATCCGCGGCGGCCGAGATGCTGGGCGGGGGCTCCGCCAACACGCAATTGAGCCTGGCAGCAGTGGCAGCAGCGCCTCCGCGCCGAGCGTGCATGAAGGCGCGAAGCTGTTGCCCGAGCCAACGGATCGCGCGATGACCAGGATAACGCACCTTCCCGTCCTGGCCCAGGATAGGTTTCCACACAAGTTGAGGACCCAGACCCCTGGAACCTAACTTGGGAGGGGCGACGCCCACCAAAGGAATGAGGTCACGCTCCGCGTGGTCAGCCCACTTCCTGTAGAGCGGACCCAAAAGACGTTTGGCCCCCTGACCGCCACCATTCTGGAGACAACGTTCAGCCTCTGACGCCAGCGCAAGTTCCCCAGCCCAACATCTCTCCCTGGGGGCAGGGCCGAAAACCACTTGGCAAGGCAAGGGGGGAGGCTTCCTGAAAGAGAGAGCGTGAAGCACCGCCAGCTTGGGATGGAAAACCAACTGGACGGGCCTATGGGGGGAGAGCTCCGTATCCAATCTCGTATCGACCGACTTGAGACCCTTAGCAAGACCGCCCGAACAAACGAAGAAGTCGAAAGTCGTGGGAGGGCCCGCAGGATAGTGCGTCGCAACAAGGGGGAAGATGAGGGAAGCCCTCAACTCAGACACAAAACTTGAAGACTCGAGCTCAGCAGGCTCCAAGTTAAAATCGGCACCGACCACCCACGGCTGGCCAACGGTCGACAGTTGCTCGCCAAGCCTCGCAAGCAACGAAAGATTACCATCGCTGAGGCCTTCTGAGTGGTGAAGGTAGGCAGAGGCAACCAGGATGGGGGGGGGTCCCAGGGAGGTGCGCGGAGCACGCGATGCATCGCCCAGGCGTCGTGATGGCACCCTCGACCTCCAGAAGCCCCAGCCAAGAGCGCACGAAAATGGCAACACCCCCACTCGTGTCCTGCGCTTGGGTGGGGATAGCAGGGGCCCAAACCGACTTCCATCCATGCCTTATGCACCAAGCACTGGCCTGCTCGATGTCCTCCTTGGAAATCAGACGGTGCTCCTGACCGAGCACAATGAGGGCAGAACAATCTTCGAGC